ATTATAATTTTAAGCAAATTACTAGAGTCAGTAAGGAGACATTCTGGCATATAGAAAATTTGATTCGTGATAATCCAATTTTTTTAAACAAATCCAAACATCAACAAAGACCAGTTTGGCAACAATTAGCAGTAACTTTAGAACAAATGGGATGTAATGGAAATGGTGCTTCTGTTGAACGATTTGCTAGACAATGGGGCTTAGGAATCAGTACTGTAGTTGAGTATACAAAGCGTATAGTAATAGCTATTAATTCAATTGGAAATGCTTATGTACAATGGCCAGATTCTGTTGAATGGCAACAAATTAGCAGCGGAATAGAACAACTATCAGGATTTAAAGGTTGTATTGGATTTTTAGATAGAACTGATGTTGTACTTGAATATAAACTATTCAAAGATGGTGAAATTTACTATAATAAAAAAAAGATACGCTTTAACTGTACAATTAGTTTGTGATGATCTAAAATTTATTCGATTTGCAAACTTTGGATGGCCAGGATCTGTTACAGATTCAACTGCTTATAAATCTACACCACTTTATCAAGAGCCTAATAAATTTTTTAATAAATATGAATATTTATTAGCAGATTGTGGTTATCAGCTTACTCCAACAACAATAATTCCCTATAAACAGCCACAAGCTAATATTTATATGAATGCAATTTTTAATGAAATATTTGCTAAAGAACGTGTTCGAATTGAACATGTTAATGGAATTTGGAAATGACAATTTGGATGTTTAAATGGAATAAGAACACAAATTTTATCTAAAAATATTTAAAATTTGGTTTAGATATTATTAAAGCAACAATTGTTTTTTATAATTTAGCATTAAAAAATCATGATATTTGAGAAAAAAATATAAATATAACTAATTCAAGTTCAACAGTTGCAGATAATTTATTGGATCGTAATCTAAGTAAGGAGGGTAAAAAAAATGGATTATCACGAATCAAATTTTCTATATGCCAGAATGTCTCCTTACTGACTCTAGTAATTTGCTTAAAATTATAAT